TGAGTACTGTAGTCCTGTGTATTGTCATTTTCTTTATCTAATGGAAGTAGATATCCTCTTTAGGGCTCGTTCGGTTTGGGCAAAATGACACAAGGAATCAATCCTTTTAATGAAAACTTATATAAATTGACTAACGATTCTGGCCAAGAATCGTTCCTGGGAGTGATTCCGTAGGAAATGAACGAGGCCTTAAAGAAAAGCGTAAGTCGGGTGGAGATTCAAGTGGTCTCGGCCTGATGACTATTCTTATTTTTTATTTTATTTTCAGCAGCAAATTGCTACTCCTGCGGTCCTACCTCGCTGAAAATTGGGCTACGAGCAGAAGGTTTTGGGCCAAAGTAAGTTAACGTTTGGCTCAATTTCTACGTGCCGTGTTACAATGTTAATTAATTGTCTAAAAAAAGAACTCTAAAAAATGTTAATTGACTAATACTCTAATAATAATAGATTAATTCATGTCAGAAATAAAAAAAAAACTCCTTTAGTTTCGAAAAGAGAAAAAGAATGCTATACTATTTCATTGCAGGGACGCGACAGTATTATGCTACAGCTCGTATTAATCGTGGCAGTGCGAGTTTCATGTGGGCATGTGGCCTGTCACCTTTGCTGCTGGCTGAAATTGGCCTACGGAGTCAACCACAGGCGAAGGCGACCGGTGAACTTTATCAGCAAGAAATCTAAGTACTGTAAAAGCTAATTTCTTCACAGCGTCGTCCACTTATCCGTCCGACGATTAAAAAGGACCCCGCTAGCGCTCGGACATCTCATGGACATATATATCTCGATGCCCGCATATGTCGCTACATCTGCTCGCTCGCCCCTGCCGCGCAGCACATCGAAACACTTGCAACGTAAAAGCACTTGCTGCAACGTACATTTAAAGCAGGTGAAATATTAGAATATACGCTTGCATCATACGTGTATAGCCACTGCAATATATGCAACATCCAGATAAAACATTTGTAACATACGTCTAAAGTAGATGAAACATTTTGAATAGACACTTGCAACATACATGTATAACCATTGCAACATATACAACATTCAAATTTATTTTTACAACATCTATACGAAACACTCACAACATAACTTTGGAACATCTAAACACTTCGACACATACGTTTACAATATACATTGTTTTCAGTTCAATATGAATGGGCCGTGCGGCGAATTGGTGCGGTGAAGGCTGTGCCCTGCGAGACGGGCAGACGGCCACGGCGGGCGGGGCGCACGACGGCCAGGACAAATCTGCATGGGCGGGAGCGAACTGCGGGAGGGGGAAGCAAATGGCGGAAGATGGGCGGGGCGCGGCGGGCGGAAGCAAACGGCGTTAAATAATTGCCCAAAACTACTCGTCTGTGTACGTCCAGCAGCAGCAGCAGCCGCCCGGGCGCCGGGATGGGATGGACCTGACCCCTGCACGCAACTCCGATCCACCATTTGTTTAGCCGCGTCTCCTGCTGTCATGCATGACCCTCGTGTAGGTGTAGCCACATACGTAGCTCCATTTGGTTGCCACCTTGCCGGCACAGAAGCGCTCTCTTCAATTTGGCCGCTCCTCCCGCTGTCCTGTGAGACTTTAAAGAGGAGCTATATATGACTCCCTAAACTATTTTAAATTTAATCAAATCTATACAAAAATATGAAACATTTTCTATACTAAATAAATATTATTACATTATTAATTAGATATTTTTATAATACACCATTTTATATTGTAAATGTTGATACTTTGAAAATATGTCTAGAATGAAGGTAGAATTACATGTTTTTTTTCAGACAGAGGTAGTTACTGCAAACAAACTTGACTTCCGCCCGTGTTTAATTAAATTATGAAGAGAATATATGATGAACCTCATCACTTTACACATTGTTTATACAACACGGCACGTGAAAAAGTTCAACATGGCCGTGGCGGGTTCCATGCATATTCTCTGTGGAACGGAAGTGACAACAATTGAAAGAGAAAAGATGCAACCATCTTTTAATTTGCAACAACGGAATATATGTTGACAGCGCGCGTGAGCCGTGAGGGTGAGGGAATGTATGTTGACTACAACTGGCGCCATGCTTTTGACGGTAAAAAAGATTGTGCTTCGGACTGTCCACAGGTGACATGCTTTTGACGGTAAAAAAGATTGTGCTTCGGTCTGAGATAAACACCGGCGACCGCTGGAGCATCAACAAGACAAACAACACGACCTCGCTCGCTCTCACTCACGTTGTGAGATGAGACTGACGGACCAATCAAAATCACTTCACAGCGCACGCACGTTTCTAAAGGAAACAATCCTATGCTCGTGGAATCAAAGGGCCTGTCGTGGAATCAAAGAGCCCCCGGTAGCTCGGCCGGCTGGCCTGGTCCAAACGGTAGGTGATCGTGTTTGATTGTAGGTCCGAGCAGCACTACGGGATACTGATTAATTACCGAGTGTGATAAACACTCGGCAAATATGGATAAACACTCGGTAAATTTTTTACGAGTGCCACACTGCAAAACATGACTCGGTAAACAACGACTCGGTAAAGTTAGTTTACCGAGTGTCAACTAACGGGCACTCGGAGAATAAATTTTACCGAAAGTGCTACGCCGCACTCGATAAACAACTACGACGTGGCCGGTCGTCATCCCCAAGCTTGCCGTTAACGGCGTCGCCACGAGTGTTAGACATAGCACTCGGTAAACAGATAACCATTTTCATGATTAAAACAATTCCGCAAATATTTTTTCCTAATATAGTTTACCGAGTGTACCGGTAACACTTTCGGTAAACATGTAACTCATTTACCGAGTGTTCCACTCGGCAAAAAATGGCACATATATCCAAGTGGGGTCGTGGCACTTTCGGTAAAAATGGCACACTCGGCAAAATTAATGTAATCGTAACCAATTTGTTCTGTTTCTCGCTTTTACGAGTGTAACACTCGATAAACATCACCATTACCGAGTGTAACACTCGCAAAAACTTGTCCACAGTATTTTTTTGTTTGTTTCAAAGCATATCCAGCCACAATTAACAACAATTATAACGAGAATATCACAGCTTACCAACAGATAGACAATATATATCACATATATGTCCACAAATGTCACATCCACTCATTATAACCAACATATAGCTACAACAAATGTCACAAGCACAATGCAAAGTCCACAAACACCATCAACATGTCCAAAGTCCACAAAGTTCAACCCACTTCTAAGTTCAACATACAAACAAGTGAAACATGGTCCTGTCACATGGTCGGAGCCCTACCGAGAAACGGAGACAAGTCCAAGTCTTGATCGTTGTTCGATCCAAATTGAAAGGTCCCCGGAATGAGGGAGCAAAAGAAAATAAACATATTTGTCAATTAATCATAAGGTAGTATGCCAAATTCAAATATTCCTTCGAAAGACCGGTTAACAAAGACATCAATATATAGGCATATAATAGATAACACATATCAAGTTAGTTGTTGTTTAGTTCTCCTCTATGTGCAAGATATCGTCACACATGGTCGAGTAGATCGAACATGAATTGGGCAAACACCTATGTACTCATGTAGAACCTAATATGATGCCTTTCAAGGTCTGAACAATATTACTAATAATCTAACTTATACATGTATGTATCCTACTCTCTTCTAGGTTCTAACATGATAGTGTTGATCAGAGCACAATCTGAACTGAAAAAGCCTTTCAAGATGAAGAGTGACTCACAGAGAGTGCTGTCGCTGCTGGAGGTGGAGGCACCAACGGTATCATCGGCGGCGGCGGAGGCGGTGGAGGCTGGCCCATGCTCGAGAAAAGCTGGCCATGTACTGCATTTCAGCCTTCATGATCGCTGGAAGGCCTCAAGCTGGGCTGCACTCGCGTCCTCTCCTGTGCCAACTCGGCCTGGTGCGATAGCCGGAGGGCTGGCCGAATCGCTCTGTGAGGCCTGCTGTGACTCTGCAGGGGCTTCAATCTGGGCCTACAATTATTTATCACATAGTTAGAATGCAAATAAAGAACGGGTAGAAAATGAATGGACAACGAATGCAACAGAACTAACTCGAGTGCTACCACCGGGCCGTGGCGTGGGCGTGGCGGGCCGGGCTCGAACTCGTGCTCGGGCTCTAATCAAGGCGAGTGTCCGAGTGTTGGCCGTGTCTATGGTGCTGTTGCCCATATAGTACCTCCCGTGTGGCTTACCCGGTCCCAACCTCATGACGATGTCACCCTCGAGGTCAGCCGGTGCTCGGATCAAATTCTCGCCCATGGATCTCTCTCGCCATCGCCGTGTACTCATTGAGGCGATCGCATGCCTTCCAGTTCTTGTATGCCTCGGCGGGGTCCTCCGGGTTGTAGACGAGATCGGGGTCCTTTGCCTTGCCCTTGTGTGCCAAGGCATATGCCTTGAACGAGGCGCACTCTGGCCGGTGGAACCGCGTCTGCGAGGAAGAAGCACAACAATAAGATATTATGCATTCGAAGTTAGCGTAGCAACAACGAAATGAAATCCGCTGTACATATCTGGGTCTGCATATTCCTTGAGGGTAGTGGGCCCTTGTTTGTGCAAGGAACCTGCATCATCATCGCGACGGCAACGTGAGCGTCACGGCGTGATATTGCTCGTACTCCTCACTCAACCACGCGGTCCACAATGGCCTCCCAGCAGCTTGTCCAACCCCGCACACCAAGCAGGAGGCACCGCACGTACACGAGCACATGACAAATCATAAATCAATTTCAGTGCAATTAATCACAGACGATGTAATCTCATGTTTACCGTCAAGTATTGCTCCTTAGTTAGGGGCAGGTGCACTGCCTGCGCTCTGGTGACTCTGTTTCCTCTGCGGGCATGGTAAATTCTTCTGCACAGGAGCTTTGTCTCGTAGAAGAGGTCCTGCACTCGGTGAACACAGACTCTGTTCACCACGTCATCCGCGTCCTCCCTACGTACTCCCTCCGCCATACAGTCAGTAATATACAATTAATGTGATGTTATTATCAGCATAGTGCGATGAACACGTACCCACAGCTCTTTCATCACCCGGTCGGCCTTGCTGTTATAACACCTGCCAGCTCGATCAGTCTGATCGCTGGCGGCGTGCCAGTGGGACCACTTCATGGCGGGCTGCACAACACCATCGATCCTCACCATCCCGTGGTAAACATATGGTATATATATCTCATTATCAAAGCACTTCTTTTCTAGTACCTGTGCTGGAAATAAGCGTCTTTTTTAGTTAGTCGGTCTGTTTGAAATATATGGTATATTGTACTGCAAGTTCATTGAATTTTAGCAGGGCAGGCTCAATCATGATATCACAATAAAAGTTAGGAAAAGGTAAGATTTTGGTATGTCTTCTGTCAAAGCTTTCCTCACTTTCATTTGATAACCTTATGTCCTGAGGTAAACTTTAGCCTCGCTGACTATGGACGTCCCTGAAATCTGAATTGCACTTGCATTTGGAGCCATGTTCACGGACCAACACGCATTTGACCGGACGGACCCGGCACCCTGGACCCGTCACGTCAACATCCGGGTAGGGGAGGGGATCTCCGACAGTACCGCCCGGAAGCTGCTGCTGCTTGCCTATCTCATTTCTCAATCCGTGAGTGCCTATCTGTCTCATGATTTCGGTTGGACAAGGTAAACACGGATGGTTACTGTAACAGACTAACAGTGGTCAACCTTTTGGTTACTGCCAGTCGGAGGAGTACGTATGCATGTACTTACTGTGTATAGTGATGGATGTCAAAAAAAAAAACGCAGGCTCTTTGCTGCTCCAATTCCTTTTGCTGATGCATGCCGGATTTATATTACTATATATACTATAAATGGAGTACTCCTAAATACTAATACTACTATGGCCAGTTGGCCCCCTTTGGACATTGGACATTGGACTTTGGAGTCAAAGGCGCAAAGCAGTCTCGGCTCGGATGCAGATGCACATTGCACAGCACAGCTGTAGCACATGCTCCAACAACTCTACTCCATGCTGGAGATCCTCAATTCCGAAATGGGAGCAAAATGCCTAGCAAGATTTGGTCGCAAGGCTTTTCGGTTAACTTATTGACAACATGATCACACTCCATGTATGTCAAGAAAAGATGAGTGTTCAGTAGAAGAATTTTTTCACAGATGTTGATGTCTTGATGACACATCTCTAAGGTGTTGTTTGAATCCCATCGGATTCTGAGAATCCAGATAAAAAGAATCACAACAGTTTTATTGGATTTGAGTATTTTAAATATCTATGAGTGAAAATCCCTCTAAAATCAAGACTGTTTGATGAGATACTAGGATTTTGGGAATTTTTCTATGTGGATTCTCAGAATCCAAATGGTTCAAATGGGGCCTAAGAACTGTTGTGATTCTGGTAATTTTAAGGTTCCTCTCCTTTTATTCCATACGGTGTTATATGTTAAACTTATGATGCTAATATGTTGCTTGTCGTAGTAAAACTTCATGCCCACCGGGTTGTGTTTGTGCTCAACAATCAAACTGGAAAATCGAGAAACTTTCATTGATTAACCTTCAAGAAATAGAAATCCTACAGTTGAGAGGATCTGAACATGAAGTTTGTTTTGTGAAGCGACTATTCAATTGGGCAACAGCACTGAACAAGATAACAGCATCCATCAACCATTGAATATTTTCTCTTTCTCTACTGATTTATCTCTTCTCTAATTTGCAGTGCTTCGGATAGAATCAAAGCAATGGGCCAAGTTTTATCAAAAGCAAGGGATCTATTGTACGATTGCAAGGAAATTACCGAGCGTTTGAGAGCAATGCTTCAGTCAGCAGATGAGCAGGTCCGGAGCTTGGAGGGGAGGAGGCGGCCGCGGCGGCGGCAGTCCCGCGGTGGCGGCGGGTGACCGCCCTCCCCCGGTGGCGGCGGCTGTGGGGGACCGCCCGGTGGCGGCGGTGGTGGAGGGGAGAGAGTGCTCGCCGCCGCCGTTGCTGCTGGGGCCCACCCCACCCCACCTCGCGGGAACGGGAGCGAAGGAGGGAGCACGGGGCGGCGTCGGCGGAGGGGATCATCGTCCGGTGCGTCGGTGCTGCTGTCTCTCTCTCCGTCTCTCTCTCTCTCCGTCTCTCCGGTGGCGGCGGCTGTGGGGGACCGCCCGGTGGCGGCGGTGGTGGAGGGGAGGAGGCGGCAGCATGTGGGGAGGCGTGTGCGGTGTGTGTGTGCTGCGTCATGTACGATTTGAGGAAGAAACGCTGTGTTGAATGCTTACATTTACGAGTGCACGGATGTACGGCACTCGGTAAACTCATGTTTACCGAAAGTGCCCAGATCTACGGCACTTTCGGTAAATAGAAGCATGGCAGCCCACCGTGAGCATGTGGGCCGTGGCTAACCTTTACCGAGTGTTTCAGTCACACACTCGGTAAAAAGTCTCCATTATTTCATGCAAAACAAAAAGAAAAATGCCAATTTAATCCTAAAATTCACCAAACTTTCACATGAACTATTTCATGTCATCTATTTACTATCTAAAAAATTCCAAGTTCAAATCATATTGTTGAATTTCACTCTTAATAGAAATCCTACTCGTCATTGTGAATGTTTAGCGTCTCTTTGGGAGATGTACCGGTTCGGCAGCGACGAATGTAAAAATACTTCCAAAACGTTATGAAATTTTTTCTATAACATAGATGTATGCTTCAATGTTAATTCTTCCAATCTCGTGATTTATCGAGTTCGATTTTAATTATTACAATTAAATTTACACGATATGTACCTAATTTTCATAAAGAATGAAAATTTTGTGAAATATAGTAAATAAATCAAAATAAACACCATATTTTGGAATGGAGTACTAAATATCATATGTGGATAGAGGAAAAAGAATGAAGGGAAAAACAAGAAATTTGGTTGAATTTTACCGAGTGTTGCGCCAATACACTCGGTAAAAGATAGTGTTTACCGAGTGTTGTGCAGTGACACTCGTAAACATTTTCGGTCTTTTTTATTCGCTATGGGCGCTTTACGGGCGGAGCTGTTACCGTGATTTTTGCCGAGTGTACGCTCATAACACTCGGTAAACATGTCATGCCGTGACGCCGTTCGGCGCACGGTTGCTATCCTAGGTGACGTGGCACCTCAATACCGAGTGTCTAGTTTTACCGAGTGCGCCCCTTCGGTAAACTTGTAGTTTTACCGATTGTCTTAAGTTACCGAGTGTGTGGACTCGGTAAAGCGGTCTGCTACCGGGTGTTTTTGTTTTCCGAGTGTTGACACTCGGTAAATATTGTTTTCCGAGTGCCCCGACTTCTGACACTCGGTAATTGTCGGGGCACTCGATAACTACACAGTCTCCGGTAGTGCAGAGCCGAGCTGAGTTGAGAATGTGTTTGCTTACCTTCACAGAAAGAGTATTGCTACCTTGTACAAGCATGTGGTAGCCTTACCACCACTGCTCTTCTCAGCACTCCTCACAGCCGGTCATGGACACGAGCTTGTCCAGCGCTAAGAATGGAGAAGCCGGAGGAATCAGGTATAGAGGCGGTCTTGTCGCGGCGGCGGAGGCACCACGCGCGCGCGCGGCCGGCTAGGCGCGGCTCGGCGCGGTGGCGGCGCCTCCCTCGTCGTGCCCTGCTTCGCCGCCGAGGCCGCCTACAAGGCCTGGTGGTACGCCACCTCCGCCGACCGCGTCCCGTTCTTCGCCAACGACGTCCTCAGCGACGTGCTCGCTTGCTCCCTCGAGATGGCCTCATGGATGTACCGCAGCGCCGTCTACCTCCTCACATGCGTCCTCTTCCTCTTCCACCTCATCTGCCACCTCCAGAGGCTCCAGCTCGAGGACTTCGCCGGCTCGCTCCTCGAGGAGGTCGAGGAAGGCCGCCCTGGTGTGGATACCGTGCTCAGAGAGCACCTCGACATCCGCAAGCCGCTCATGGTCATCAGCCATCGCTTCCGCAAGCAGCTCGACATCCGCGGCGGCGGCACCACGCGCGCGCGTGGCGTCACGGAGGACGTGGCGGAGCTCGTCGCAGGAGATGAAGTCGTTCTGGTCCTGGTCGAAGACGCGTAAGGCCTCCCGGAGCTCGTCCTCCTCGGTAGCGGCAGTCACGCACGCGCGCAGTCGGCTCGGCGCGCCGGCGGCCAGATCTGCGAGGCGGCGGCGGCGCCACGCGCGCGCGCTCTTCACGGCGAGGCCACCAGCGCAAGAGCAGGATGAGCAGCAGCCACCCCAGTAGCCTTTCCAGCCGCCGACACTCTCGACCACGAACACGAGCGCCTCGTCGGCCGTGTACTGCGGCCGGCCATCGGCGCGCCTCAGGAACAGCATCGCCATGAGCACGCCCCCCGCGCCGGCACCACCGGGTCCAGCTCCGCCACCACGGCCGCCGGCTCCCCCAGCAACACCCGGTCCTTGCGCACCTTGGCGCCATCGAAGCAGCCGAACGCGACGCCGAGGAGGAGGAAATCGAAGACGCGGCGCGGTGGGTGAGAGGAAGGTAACCGCATCCTTGCGTGGACGCTCGAGGCAGCCGGGCTCTAGAGAAACGAACATTTTTCTGTTTCCCCGGGTGCAGGAGAGAGAGAGGGATTTGCAGCTGGAGGGCCGGGCCGGAAGCTGGGCCAGAGGAATCAAACAATGGTGCTTGCAGCTGGAGGGCGCCGGGCCACCCAAAAGCCCCATATCAAACAGACCCAAAGATGCCTTCCACAACCACGATGGCTCCCACCGCCGCCATTGACCGGCAGGCCGTAGCCGGACTCGCCTGGCCAGGTGCGCTACCACCGGAAAACAAATCTTGGCCGCACCGCACGCAGTGCAAGCACACGACAACTTCTCAGCGTCTTCTCCAATCCTCGCCCTCCCTCGTCGCCACAGTCCCTCTGGTTAGTGGAGGGTAGAGTCGAAGGGTAGGGACATACTGTGGGTGTTGCGGTGAGGCGGGTAGGGGCGCGGGAAGGAAGAAGCCGGAGGTAGAAGAAGACGGGAAAGGGGAGGCGGGGCGGAGAAGATGGGTCGTGCGTTTTTCTAATGCGCGACCCGTCACGGCTTATTTTTTGTCCAATTAATTAATGGCTCGCCCCACTCCACTCAACACGCTTCTTCACGCCGCTCGCCTTCTCCATCACAGGGGCCGCCCGCCATGGCCATCTCCAGCGTGGTAGCGTCGCACCTGGCCCCTTCCCA